ATGCTGTGCACCGCCCCAGCTAGTTATTGATTGATTGGGCTGCTGGCATTTCCTCTTGTCTTGTTGTCTTGCTTTATGTTACACACGTATGCAGGCAGCAGGGATCATACGTCGGTTTTATATTCCCAGCGTGACGTGTTTTCATGCTTTCCTTACCTACACACTGCTGAGTGAACCCATCCAGAGCTTCGCTGGTCCTACAAGTTGTCCCCGGACGTCCTCAGGACATCTCGTGTTGAGAATAACTGAAAAGAAAGTGAAAATGATATTATTTACATGTACAGTATATACAGATGGGGATATATATATACAGTATATACAGGGGAGGATATATATACAGTATATACAGGGGAGGATATATATACAGTATATACAGGGGAGGATATATATACAGTATATACAGGGGAGGATATATATACAGTATATACAGGGGAGGATATATATACAGTATATACAGGGGGGGATATATATACACTATATACAGGGGAGGATATATATATATACAGTATATACAGGGGGATATATATACAGTATATACAGGAGAGGATATATATACAGTATATACAGGGGAGGATATATATACACTATATACAGGGGAGGATATATATACAGTATATACAGGGGGGAAATATATACAATATATACAGAGGAGGATATATATACAGTATATATAGAGGAGGATATATATATAGTATATACAGGGGAAGATATATATACAGTATATACAGGGGAGGATATATATACAGTATATACAGGGGGGAGGGATATATATACAGTATATACAGGAGAGGATATATATACACTACATACAGGGGAGTATATATACAGTATATACAGGGGGGGATATATATACAGTATATACAGAGGAGGATATATATACAGTATATATAGAGGAGGATATATATATAGTATATACAGGGGAAGATATATATACAGTATATACAGGGGAGGATATATATACAGTATATACAGGGGAGGATATAATTACACTATATACAGGGGAGGATATATATACAGTATATACAGGGGGGATATATATACACTATATACAGGGGGGGATATATATATACAGTATATACAGGGGAGGATATATATACAGTATATACAGCGGAGGATATATTGCTTGTGTACTGTACCGGGGTCCAGAGGGCACTAGTGGCATTAGTGGCACTTGGCCTTATCTTTAGTTTGCCATAAAGTGATACCTCGGTAATGAGGAGACCTCACCGCTGGAGTCCACTAGATATCAGAAGGCAGCTAGGGACTTAGTCCACCAGGCTCTACCTGGAATGTTATGTTGAGGTGCACCAGATGTGCCCAGAACTGACTGGGATTTGTGTCTCGCTGGGAAGCAGCTCTCATGTTTCTTTTCTTTATTTTTAATGAAACATTTCCGTGTTTCTTCCTTTGTTACATCTCAGTGCAGCTGATCTCCTGCAGCCTCTTTAAATACCTGGAAAGTTGCCGGCATCAGGGCGGCAATGCCGGCTTTAGGATCACTTTACTGGCTAGGTACCGGCCGGGCTCAGTTCTCCGGCTTTCTGGTTTTGTAGCTTTAATAAAAGGTAATAGCCGAGGGGACTTGTCAGGGGTCCGTGGAGTAGTCCAGTGACTCCCTGCGGCTCCCGACGCTTTGTTTATAGTTCAACTTCTGGCAGACAGGTGACCCCGGCAGATTGATGTGCTGAGGAAAAGAGGCTGCGTGCAAAGGTGAAGGGGAAGTATGGGGCAGAAGATGTCACCAGAGGGACACGGATCAGGTTACAGGTAAGTTATGCTAAGGCGGTCCCCCCTTAACATAGGCAAGTCCCCCCTGGAATCACTTGCAAGTACGGAGGGACTGGTTAAACCGGCCTCTTGTCTCTACAGCACCCTGCAGACCCTGACTTCCTCCAACCTAACAGCATTACAATCCAAGTGGAGGGAGGACATCCCTGATCTGGATGAGGAGGACTGGGAGGATATTTGGGATGAACCGTTTAAGCAATTGGTAGCAATAAGGGATAGGATGGTACAATTCAAAATTCTTCATAGAGCCTATTACACGCCCCACCGTCTACATAAAATGAACGCTCTCCGGCCTGCTGGAGATGCACATGTCGGGAGGGGAACTTCTTCCACGTTTTCTGGGAGTGCCCCCTCATTTCTTCCTACTGGGGCTCTATAGTGGACTTTATTTCTGGGGTCACCTCCTTGCCACTGCCACTGTCACCCAGGGTGTGTCTTCTGGGCCTGGTGGAGGACGAAGCTCCGACCAGATCGGAACGCACGTTGATAGGTTTGACCCTGTTTTATGCCCGCAAGGCTATAGCCATGAACTGGCCCCGCCGGACTTGTCCTTCTGGAAGAAGTTGGTAAATGATCATCTTCCTTTGTACCAAGACACATATGCCCACAGGGGAAGCCCTAACAAATTCCATAAAGTATGGGATAGCTGGTTGGAGTGCACGAACTCAGCGGTAGACTGTGCAGCAAGAGTCTGAGGGGGACATAATGCCCTTATGGGGATCCTAAGATAAAACTGGAGATAGAGTCATCTGGTTGGCCCAGGAGAGGCCGGAGGCCACACGTAGGGTTGCCACCTTTTCTTCAAGCGAAACCTGAACACTCTAGCGGCGCCTAGACATTTTTTTGGGGTCGTGGGTTATTCATATTTAAATAGCGCCACCCATTCATATGTAAATATCACAATCGAGACTGTACAGTGGGGGACCAGTAGACCCTTTATTAATTTTGGTTGCCCCTGTCTGCCTGACATCTTGTGTCCAGGTTTCTGCTGCCATGAAACCTGGACACAGTATCCAAAACCCGAATCTAGGTGGCAACCCTAGCCACACGGCAAGAGATGTTCCACTACAATAAACAAGAGGTGACCGAGCCCTTAGCTACTAAGTACATAAGCAGATGGTTTTGGCCAGGTGAGCACTGTAGGGAATTTTTTAGTTTTTTCCCCCACCTGTAATTGGAAGCTTCCCGAGGGGGGCATTTCCTTCTGACCTGTAGTAATGGTTGTTATTGTTCATTTAATTTTTTGTTATTTTCTATTTAGATATTAAGCTTGGCTGTATGCTGTATTATTGTATGCATTTTGGGTGGGAGAAGAGATGAGAAGCTTGGGTGCAGAGCTGGTTGGGTTTCCTTCCAAACCCCAAAGATATGCTCGTAGGTGAAATGGCCCCGGTCTAGATTGGCCCTTGTACACTATATTGCCAAAAGTATTGGGACACCCCTCCAAATCATTGGATTCAGGTGTTCTGTGAAATTTCCCTGCTACTAAATATTCCGCAGTCACAAAGTGGAAGCAACTGGGAACAACAGCAACTCAGCCAGGAAGTGGTAGCCCATGTACAATGACAGAGCGGGGTCAGCGCATGCTGAAGCGCACAGTGCGCAGAAGTCGCCAACTGTTTTTCAGGGGTTGGGCTTGGCCCCTTAGTTCCAGTGAAGGGAACTCTTAAGGCATCAGCACACCAAGACATTTTGGACAATTTCATGCTCCCAACTTTGTGGGAGGAGTTTGGGGATGGCCCCTTCCTGTTCCAACATGACTGCGCACCAGTGCACAAAGCAAGGTCCATAAAGACATGGATGGGGGGGTTTGGGGTGGAGGAACTTGACTGGCTGCACAGAGTCCTGACCTCAACCCGATAGAACACCTTTGGGATGAATTAGAGCGGAGACTGCGAGCCCCTCCCCCAACATCAGTACCTGACCTCACAAATGGTCCAACACTCCCATAGACACACTCCTAAACCTTGTGGACGCCTTCCCAGAAGAGTTGAAGTTGTTATAGCGGCAAAGGGCGGAGCCAACTCAATATTGAATGCCATTAAAGTTCATGTGCGTGTGAAGGCCGGCGTCCCAATACTTGTGGTAATATAGTGTATGTGTGTATGTGAGATGGGGACATTAGATTGTAAGCTCCTTGAGCACAGGGACTGATGGGAATGTGCTCTGTGTACAGCGCTGTATATATTGTTGGCGCTATATACAGTATATCCTGTAATAAAGAAATAATACGTTCGCGATGGAGAACTGACACTGAAAGTCTATTAACTCTCTGACCCGCCCAACACACATCACACGCATTCTACATATTTAAAAGGGAAGTCCACCCACGGGTGCTATTTTTTTTATTATAGGGGGAGCCCGGAGGTCTGAGCCGCCCCCTGACCTTCTCTGCTCCAATAGTGAGACCTTCCGACCATAAATCCCAACTCTGCTCCTGCTCAGCTTTGTGGGTCCCGGCTTCTCCCGTTGGGCGGTGGGAGCTCCTCATAATGGGCACAGCGGGTGTACAGACCCGGGAACTCAGCACAGGGATGGTGGGAGCTCCTCATAATGGGCACAGCGGGGGTACAGACCCGGGAACTCAGCACAGGGATGGTGGGAGCTCCTCATAATGGGCACAGCGGGGGTACAGACCCGGGAACTCAGCACAGGGATGGTGGGAGCTCCTCATAATGGGCACAGCGGGGGTACAGACCCGGGAACTCAGCACAGGGATGGTGGGAGCTCCTCATAATGGGCACAGCGGGGGTACAGACCCGGGAACTCAGCACAGGGATGGTGGGAGCTCCTCATAATGGGCACAGCGGGGGTACAGACCCGGGAACTCAGCACAGGGATGGTGGGAGCTCCTCATAATGGGCACAGCGGGGGTACAGACCCGGGAACTCAGCACAGGGATGGTGGGAGCTCCTCATAATGGGCACAGCGGGGGTACAGACCCGGGAACTCAGCACAGGGATGGTGGGAGCTCCTCATAATGGGCACAGCGGGGGTACAGACCCGGGAACTCAGCACAGGGATGGTGGGAGCTCCTCATAATGGGCACAGCGGGGGTACAGACCCGGGAACTCAGCACAGGGATGGTGGGAGCTCCTCATAATGGGCACAGCGGGGGTACAGACCCGGGAACTCAGCACAGGGATGGTGGGAGCTCCTCATAATGGGCACAGCGGGGGTACAGACCCGGGAACTCAGCACAGGGATGGTGGGAGCTCCTCATAATGGGCACAGCGGGGGTACAGACCCGGGAACTCAGCACAGGGATGGTGGGAGCTCCTCATAATGGGCACAGCGGGGGTACAGACCCGGGAACTCAGCACAGGGATGGTGGGAGCTCCTCATAATGGGCACAGCGGGGGTACAGACCCGGGAACTCAGCACAGGGATGGTGGGAGCTCCTCATAATGGGCACAGCGGGGGTACAGACCCGGGAACTCAGCACAGGGATGGTGGGAGCTCCTCATAATGGGCACAGCGGGGGTACAGACCCGGGAACTCAGCACAGGGATGGTGGGAGCTCCTCATAATGGGCACAGCGGGGGTACAGACCCGGGAACTCAGCACAGGGATGGTGGGAGCTCCTCATAATGGGCACAGCGGGGGTACAGACCCGGGAACTCAGCACAGGGATGGTGGGAGCTCCTCATAATGGGCACAGCGGGGGTACAGACCCGGGAACTCAGCACAGGGATGGTGGGAGCTCCTCATAATGGGCACAGCGGGGGTACAGACCCGGGAACTCAGCACAGGGATGGTGGGAGCTCCTCATAATGGGCACAGCGGGGGTACAGACCCGGGAACTCAGCACAGGGATGGTGGGAGCTCCTCATAATGGGCACAGCGGGGGTACAGACCCGGGAACTCAGCACAGGGATGGTGGGAGCTCCTCATAATGGGCACAGCGGGGGTACAGACCCGGGAACTCAGCACAGGGATGGTGGGAGCTCCTCATAATGGGCACAGCGGGGGTACAGACCCGGGAACTCAGCACAGGGATGGGGGGAGCTCCTCATAATGGGCACATTGGGGTGACTGGTTTCCCTTCCGTTGGAGCACATTGCCCTCGCTTTGTAAGATTTTTTTTACCTTCCTCTGGATGATTGGTGGGTTTATATACATACATTGAGCATAGGGAAAGGCTTCTTTACAGTAAGAGCTGTGAACATTTAGAACAGACTCCCCTGAAGATCTAGTTCTCGGCGGCTCAGCTGATGGGTTACAGAGAGAAGCGACTGAATTCAGAAACACACAGAATATAGATATCTATAAGTGATAACAGCGGAGATTATTGATCGGTGAATGTCTGATGGCCTCAGGTGATCAGGAGGGATTTGTCCCCTTGGACCAGCTGTACAGGGTTATTTTTGCCTTCCTGCGGTTTAGGGTTCTCTATCGGCAGTGTTCTCTATCGGCGGGGTTCTCTATCGGCGGGGTTCTCTATCGGCAGTGTTCTCTATCGGCGGGGCTTTCTATCGGCAGCATTCTCT